TATTTATTCTTCGTGAATCACAATTATGATTTCACACAATTTCATTATCATATCAATCAAATTTAAGCATGATAAAATCATTCAAAACCCAATATTAACACAATTTATTCAATTTTTATTTTTTTATTCTTGGATATAACCATAATAGGCAAACCTTTAGCAATCCACAATACAACATTTAAAACCAATCTGAAACATTAGCGGAATCATTTAATCATAAAAAATCACATAATTTAATCAATTTCCGAAACCCCCATGAAACTACCTTGTTAAGGTTGACCACTTTAAACTTTAATTTCTCAAAATTAGTTATCAATGTATTCAATTATATTGTTAATCATGTCATGCAAACCCCTATTAATTAACAATTACATAATTTGACATTCCTATTAAAATTTACATAAACCTTAACAATTCCTAAAAATATGGATTTTTAATCCCTTATCATAATTCAATAAATTAAATGCATTTATTGCAAAGGTAATATTTTACCACTACGAAATAACCTAATTAAATGAGTCATTTGTAAGGATTCCAAGGATTTCCTCTTTCTCTTTAAATTTTGCATTCTTTCTCTCTTAAATTCAGAAACTTCCAACCCCTGTCTCTCTAAAGTTCACTAATTAAATTTGGTTTGATTAGTATAAAACACTTAATCACACTCTCATACCATATAAATTAAGAGGATTTGGAGAAAAATAAAGAAGAAAAGAAAAACTTATTTCATTTGTGACTTTTCATTAATTAATTGTGGATTTTCACCTCTAGTCATACAAACTTTCCTTTTAATTTATTATTTCTTGGTAGTAAAATACACCATTAAACATGAAGTTTAATGATTTTGGATTGAGGTTTAGTGACACGACTAAAAGATTGATGTCTTCTCCCAAGTGCAGGAGTGTCGAAGTAATAAATAACCCGGCAAGACCGGGCTCGAACCACAGAGAGGTTAATTATACAAATTATAAACAACAATTATAAAACAACAATAACAACAACAACAATAGTAATA